TACAACATAATAAAAAAAAAATTCTCGTTAAAACTTCTCTCCCTTTTTTGGGGGGAGTTCGAATTCTCACACAAATGTCTCATGTGCTGTTGATTGCAAAATATACAAGTGTTTGAAGTAGCACTGATCAGCAATTCATTAGCGGAGTAAAGAAATTTATTGCGAATGGGGGCACCAAAATTTCTGTGGTTAGATGATTTATACTAGCTACGTGCGAAGGAGGAGAGTGTATATCAAATGTTCTCTCCCTTGCAATAATGAAACGTTGTAAAAAATCCACCAACTCCTTCAAATTATGATTAGTGCTCGAGATTTCGTTTTTGCTGAATTCCAAAACGAGGTCGCTGGGATAAAGTTTCAAAATTACAGCGCAGTGCATTACGCTATAATTTTCTGATTTTATACCTAAACTCTCAAGAGAACGAATTTGGGTTTGACACTTAAAATACAGATTTCTCAACTATTGTAAATTAGAAATGGTCTTTAACGGTGCCATGTCCAGAAGTATGATTAACACGTGCTTCTGGCCAAAGGTATCTTGGATTAATTTAAGAGCCGACTTATAGTTGTCTGAGGTAACAGCGAAACCTTTAATACAAGAAGAAAAATTTTCGACATCTGAAAGGGAAGGATTTTTGTCAATATAATTTTCGAATTGATTCCAAAAATTTAAATACTCAGATGGGTCCTCGTAAATACGTATGAACTTTCAGGTTAGGTAACTTCGCGTTTGTATTTGGTCTACTTTGGTTTGTTATGGGTTGCACACATTGCCGGGTCTTATACAGATGAGGATTGCAACGATTTTATTTTATTTTTTAATTTTACTGAGTTAAATATAATTACTTCATTACATTCATCAGTTCTCTCTATTTCCGATTGCATATCTGCATCATCTAAAAAATTTTCAATTTTATTGTCAATAGATTTCAGCTGTTCGTCTTCCACTTGTCACTGAACTAAAAAGCTTTCTAAATCATCTACTTCTATATGTGGTTTCAGATATACGCTTTTCTATTTTTGATATTAATTTCGTGACCTGTCCTCTATGGTAGGTACGTTGCTTCTTAAATCTAACTCTTTAGCTAATAATAATAACAGTGCTACTATAAAACAATTTTATACTGCCAAACGAAAGCAAACTACTACTACACAATGCAGTCTCACTTAACTTCTTCGAAATGCAAACAAACTACTATCAAAAAATTCTTTTAAACTAAGTATTATTACTTACCCCACCTTCGAGTGTTCCAACAATTTACGAAAACAGATATCAATTTTACTCCAGGTGTTCATACAGTTTCCCAAAATAATGCACCAATATTTAAAAAAACGTTGTCCTAATAAACAATTAAAAAACCATTTTTTTTTATATTTAACAATAAACATGGCTTTGAGACTGTGCAGATAGTCTCACAGACGATATGCTAGGTCATCGCAGCACATATACAAACATTTTAAACAGTTACAAATAAAGCAATAATTTCCTTTGTAATGAAACAGGATTATTTTATCGTTTATTTCTTTAAAAAATGCTCAGCAAGAAAACAAAAATGTTAAAACAGACAACCGCGTTACATTAAAAAAGTCTAAGTTTTACTTATTCAATACGAGAATAATTCAAACACGTGGGTGGAGGAAGAATTTTTCAACGGTGGGATAAAACATTGACAAGAAAACTCTCACAAAAAAAAAAAGATAACATTTAGTGGTTCTTAAAAGCTGTCCTTCTGAACTGAAAATTTCTCCTAAAATAATCGTGCTTCTTCGTCATTATGCAATACCTGTATATCGTCGACGTTGTTAGACCACAGGAGTTATTCAAATTTTTAAGTATTTTAAGCTTCAGATGTTTATTAAGAACATCGATGACAACGAAAATGTCAAAATTACGATGATAAATGCTATGAAAATAAAAGCATCAGCTTGACATTCTGTCACAGAAGATACCGCAGGAAGCTGCTTTCTCGGGATTTTCCTTCGATATTGAGGTACAGGAAATGACTCAATAATTTCGAAAATGAATATCCATAATTTTAAAAATGTGCAACAGTTGATGATGATATTGATACTTTAGGAGTAATGAAAGAACATATTTTAAATTACAATACAGTCTTTTGAATGCGTAAACTATCCTGTTGAAGAAAATAGTTCAGAAGATGAACTTGATATTCCGAGCTACGAAGTTTCAGAAGCCATACAATTCTTCGATTTCTGAGTTCAATTTGGCACAGAGGCAGCTTTAAAACACTCAAGAAACACTGAATATAATTTATGTTCAGTAAAAAGGAAACAAAAAATCTGCAACTAAGAACTTTTTTAAGTATGCTTAAGGACAATCTTTATCATAAACAGGCAAAAGTGTAAATAAACAAAAAAGAAATTAAAAATATATTTCGTATTAAAGTAAGAAAAAATTAACAAATTATAATTTAATTACACTGAAGTGACAAAAGTCATGGGATACCTCCTACTATTTTGTCGGTCCTCCTTTTGCCCGGCGAAGTGCAGCAACTCTACGTGGCATGGACTCAACAAGTCGTTGGAGGTCCCTGCAGGAATATTGAGCCATGCTGCCTCTATAGCGTCCATAATTGTGAAAGTGTTGACGGTGAAGGGTTTGGGACGAACTGACCTCCGATGAGTCCCAAAATGTTCGATGGGATCATGTCGCGATCTAGGTGGCCAGATCATTCGCTGGAATTGTCCAGATGTTGACAACTTGGGTCCATGCTCGTGGGGTCTGCGCCACACTCGAACCCACCTCAGCTCTTAACCACTGAAATCGTGACTCATCTGGCCAAGCAACGGTTTTCCATTCGTTTAGGGACCACCGATATGTTACGAGCCCCGAGAGCGCTGCAGCATGTCGTGCGTCAGTAAGGCACTCGTCGGTCTTCTGCTAGCATAGCCCAAGGAAGAAAATTTCGCCGCATGCCACGGGCACGTTCCTCGTACGTCCACATTGATTTCTGCGGTTATTTGACGCAGTGTGCTTGTCTGTGACATTGACAACTCTACGCAGACGTCGCTGTCTCGGTCGTTAAGTGCGGTGGTCGGCCACTGCGCTGCCTATGGTGGGATTTTATGCCTGAATTAGATACTCCGGCACACTCTTGACCTGTGGCTCTCGGAATGTTGAATTCCTACGATATCTGAATGGAATGACCCATGCGTTAGCTCCAACTACCATCCGCGTTCAAAGTCTGTAATTCTCTCGTCTTGCGGCCATAATCACGTAAAGCGTCTTCAATGAATAACTTGAACACAAATGAAAACCCTGCCAAATCACTTCGCATTTATACATTTTCTACGCGATACTACTGCCATCTGTATATTTGCATATTGCTATCCCATGACTTTTGTCACTTCAAGTGTATTTAGATGGGCTTATATTCAGTTGTTGTTGTTTCTTTGTTTTTCCCCCTTCCTGTATGCCGATAAGTTGACAGCGGCGTAATTCGACATAAAAGGGCGTATATACGTACCGAGGTTTTACTATATTTCCCCAGTCAGCACATATATTTATGATTACAAACAGGCGATGTGAAAAAATTAATCAAATTATTAAATTAAACGTGTTTATAACATTATCTGATTTCGCATTCCTTTTTTCTCACTTTTTTGTCTAAAATTGGAAATTTAAGCAATTAATTGTTTCATTGAGAGACATTATGAATGGGAATCAACAAAGTTAAAAATACGGATAAATTCCCTCTACGTCTAATCTCGTTCATTATAAAACTCGATTTATGCGTTCAAAATTAATTATACTATATATAAAAAGTATTCAAAATTAATTCATGCATACAAAATGCACTCAAAATTAATTTATGCATACAAAATGCATTTATGCACATAAAATTATTTTTTATTAATTTAAAATATGAAAAAACATATCTTTTTAAAATACTTCCGTAACTAGAAGTTATAGAGCCATTAGGTTTGTCGAACCAGGAAACATGTTAAATATGCAGTACCCTCGATGGGATTTGAACTCCGAACCTCCTGATGGCTTGCCGGACGTGTCTCCAGTTACACCACGAATGCACGCGATAAAAAGAAAGATTATACCGTACATTTTCTTCCAATTAAAGGACGACTAGGCAGGAGAGAACCCAGTCGCCAAGTACTGGCGATGATGAAATATCGTCCTTTACCTTTTAGTTCGGGTGCCACTGTAGAATAATTTAGAATTTGGAAATCAGGAAATTGAAGAAATACGCAATACCATAGCCGGAATTCGAACTCAGGACTTCCCGACTTCTAACCGGACGTTCTTCCATTTACACTACGAAGGCACGCGATAAGGAGGTAGAAAATACCTTACAAAGTATAAGTCTACAACCAAAGCTGCGAATATAAAGTCCGGATAAGAACTTTTGTGGACATGGTGTATATAAAATGGAAAACGATGAAATCTATCCGCTTATTAAAAACGGCCTCTCGTAATAAAAACTAGCTGTAGAAATTGATTTTAGGGATAATTTTATTTTGCACGAAATGTAAAATATTAGGCTGAGCATATAATTTTTATGCCATGAAATCTTTCAATGCAAAAGTTTCTAAGTGGTACTTGTTTGAGTCATTTTATAGCTAATTAAAACACACACGCAGCACACATTCATGAAATTTTCTTTCAAAATCATGAGCATAGTCATAGGTGATACTTATGTTTACCCTTTGTGAAAAATAATAACTTGATAGTAAATACTATAATTAATTCTAAAATTATGTTTATTGCATAATTATAAAAGCAATCTAAAAATATCACTTCGGTGCTGATAACGGATAAATTACAATAAAATTCTTGAAGCATATTTAAAAGCCACACTGTATTAAATAATATACATATGTCGAATTTCGTACTTTTACAAAGCACATGCGTTTAAAAGCGAAATTGTCGATACGAAATTAAGAAGTACCTTTCTTTCTTTTTAGTGCTATAATTCAGTTCTTAACTAGTCCTTGTGTATTAAATAATATTTTTTCCTTTCTAGGTTACGTTTAGTGAGTTAGCTTTCATTCGTTTCGCTGTTACTGATATGGGATCCAGCCATGTCACTTCTCAAAGGGTTATTCCTTTAGCACATTTAAAACAAGGTAATATATTGTTTAACCTTGATCAATATATTGCCTGAACTCAAAATACATCTTATATATCTATTTTTATGCTGCAGGATATAGACATGTCAGACTCCGAAGTCAACAGAATCAACCTTTACCGCTGTCTACGCTTTTCATTCATTCGGTTTGGGAAGAAGAAGGTTTGGAAGTGGCAGAGGCTAGTGGTGATTCGGCATCAGGTGTCATGAAAGGAGCGGGAAAAGATTACCCAAAGTCAGAAGTTAGTATATTATTAACGCTCCTATGATTGCATAAATGTGTAATAAAAAAGTGCATCTGCATATTGTTTAAAATCGTCTTAAAGTTTCGCATTATTTGGTGCATTTTGAGAATACGAAATACTCAAGCAAGCCGTATATTACTTCAAATAAAATTTGTCAATCATTTCAAAGCATCTCAGTTGCCTCTAGAGGCACACAAATGAATCAGTAACCCATTCATTCTCGTCTATCTATCTATTACGGATTTTCAGTCGTAGAACTAATACATGTTTAAAAAGACCCGAGTGATAAAGTTGCCGAACCTTGGTAGTTTAACCTGGGTTCGATTCCATTCGAACGGGTTGGCTACATGGGCTTTTTTGTGGGTTTCCTCGTGTATAACGTAGATACGAGCCAGTTTCCTTTAGAAAGTCCATCACGAAGGCATCCCTTCCTTAGGTAGATAGCCCTCGTGTGCTTTACCGTGATCAAATAAATCAAACAAAAAAGCTCACCAGAGGTAACAAATAGTCGAAAGCATAGTTCAACACAGGTAGTTTGAATCAGGTGCGGATCATAGCGAACAAACCAGAAGCGTAGGCGTTTTTGCGGGTTTTGTTTTCTCCGCATAGCATGAATGTAAGCAGGTTTCCCTTAGAGCAGGGTTTCTTAACCTGGGGATCGCGGGACGCGTAATGGCAAACCGCACATACTCAGTGGTTTACCGTTGGCGTGGAAGGAAATACTGGCGACTAAGGGGGGCCATAAGCAATCCTACACAAGCCTGCGCGTCATGTAGGTCTTATCAACTGTTTACAATTGCAATACTACCGAAATTTGTTTCTGCTTAATGCATTTGGTTCTGTTTCATTTCATTTTGGTTTATTTTGTTCGTAAACGTTATGTTTAATATCGGTTATTTATAATAATTTCCTTGACTTTAATTCAGTAATTTAAACTGGATTTATTCTTTAATTTGTTAAAGTATATACGAATGAACGTATGTAAATACGCAATTGCTTTTATTTCCCAGAAGTATAATCAATAAAGATTCAGATAATATATCTTGTAATGTTCCCTGTTTTGTAATCATTCTTAAACGAAAATTTGCGTAATTTACAATCGATATTTACACTCTAAGTAATAAGCAGCTTACAATATAATAAGTTTCAAAATCTCGAATTGTTTATGCCCAGATTAAAGAATATGAACCACACACCGTATTTATCATCATTTAAAATTGTACCAAAGTTGTAATTGCGCTAGATTCTCTTCTGGGCATGCGCAGTACGCGAAATTTATTTAACATTGATCAACTGAATGTGCAGTTTGCCATTACGCTCGCGGGGGTGGGGACCTGCAGCAGGGGGTCGCCAAAACTTTTAGCAGTTTTGATATTTCTTTAACTTATTATAATAATTTTATAATTACCAAATATTTTTACACAATGTATCTGAAAATAGATAAAGATAAGACAATACAGACAAAGAAAAAATCGAAAACCTTTCGACGCATTCTTTTTATAATATAACGTTCATTTTCCTTGCTTTGCACGTGACGCTGTCATTTCGTCTTTTACTTATTTAAAATTTTCACATTGTTCTATGTCTTAATATTAGAAATTAAAGTGAATGACTTAAAACTGCAATAGTATATCACAGTACAAGTAAAAAATTGACAGTTTCACTCACGCGTGTGTCGAATTTGCGTTATAATTATAGGGGGTCCCACAAAATTTTTGTAAATAATATGGGGTCCAGGGGGCCACGAAAAAATCTCAGTGATAAAAGGGGTCGCGACTGGAAAAAATTTTAAGAAACCCTGCCTTAGAGAATCATCCATGAAAGATGACAGTCATACTAAGGGTTATTCTAATGACAAATAGCCCTTAGCGTGACTCGCGTTAATTAAAATCAACCAACCAATAGATTCAATGAAATTTTTATCAATTACTCGGATTCAGTATCCGTTTTGGAACTCAGCGAATGTAAGTAATTTTTTGTTGTTTAAGTATAAGGATCAGAATCTAGCTTCTAAGAACTCTAAATATTTCTACCACAGTCAAATGCAATTTTAATCCCAAAAGTAAAACTGTATTAAGCAATTTTAGTTTTAAACTTAAATTAAGAAATATAGACATAATGAAACCTGTAACTGTGACCACCACTGAAATGGCCAATATTTCTGAAAATAAATAATATTAATAATAATAATAGTATCAAATAATCACCGACAGCCATCATCTCTGTTGCATCAAGCTTCATAAAAGACCAAAATCGTCTGGAACTTTGGATGGTGTTCGTAGGAAAATTTCTCTTCCCTATATATACAATAAACAAAGCTTTTCTTTCAGCCCAAAGGGCTATTAATTTTGTCTTCGCATTTTGCTTTGATTCACTATAAATATCGGTTCACTTTTCAGATTATTGCCGCCAAATATTATTGCCCTCTGTTATATTTAAAGAAATTAAATAATGAAAATTCTACATAAATGTATGTATGTTTTTCGCATTTTGATAAAACAACGGTACCTAGAGCCATCAAATTTTGAAATAACGTAATTCTTCCCCGAATATGGACATTGGAAGCCGTAATTTGTAATTAGTTTATTATCTATTTCAAATTTTGTAACACTTTAATGAATTCTTGATTAACAGACTCAAAGATTTCAAAAGCGAGCAATGGCAAAACTGTACGGGAAAAAAAAGCATTTTTACCTCCAGCGCGCGAGACTGCGTATCGGAAATTTTAAAGATATGCTCATTTTAAAATTATTTTGCGATATTGCTGTTGAATTGAATTTTATGGTTTAAGTGCGAAGAACACCATGTTTAATAAATAAAGGTAACACACAAAACGTTAAAAAAAAGTCCCTTTGGCCGTAGTGTAAAATATGACAGCTTTCAGATTTTATATATTTGCCAAAAGTGAACTGATTTGAACGACTCTTTCAGCTTGGAACCATACCGGTGAAAAGAAGAATGTTTTTTCTAGTCGTACATGGGGTCCTACCAGAAGAGCCAAGTACCATTTTGAAAATTACCCAGGAATGCACAACAAGAGATGTCATAGCTCAGGTATGTTCTTAACATAATTTTCAGCGGAACTCTGTTGCAAAATGAAATACGTAAAAATTATTAGATACGATTCCGTTTTGCCGCCAGGAGCATCATAAAATACTAATAGCATTACTGGAAAATTTTCTTGCTGAGAAACTTGAATAAAATTATAAAATTAATGTCGTAATATATTAACATTTTCTCATATTTGGCTTCGGAACCGAACGATGTATGAAGTGAATTATATTCTGTTGGATGTAATTCAGTTCTTAGAACACTAAACTGACTCTTTATTACATCGAATAAACCGGATAACTTGATCATTTTGTTGATATGCGGGGGAAAAAAGCTGAATCATAACAATATAAAATGGCATTCGCTACCATAAGAAAACAGCGGTATTTCATCTTTGCATGAGAAACGTATAGCTGGGAATTTTAAGCATCGACGGAAGGAAAATGCAATCAATTTTGAATTTTTGATTATTTTCAAGTAATGTTAGAAAAGAGTTTTTCATTTCATTGGAGGCAACGATAAAAATGTGTTTCATCTTTGTAAAGGAACTTGTACTATGAAAAGAAATAACGAAATATTATAGTGAATCACAGTAGAAAGGACGATTTATGCTGCCCTGATGATAAAGTGATTAGTGATGCTGACTGCCGCACTGAAAGGCCAGGGTCGAATTCCGGCGAAGACGTGGATATTTGTAAATGTGTCTGTGCGGCATGGGGGCACTCAAAATATACGGTGATCCGAACCTGTATGGTGCTCAAGGATCTTGCAAACGACAGACTTAATAATCTACTACTTGTCATGATAAAATTCGTGGATTTGTTCTGATTAAATCAGACATGTGGGATCAGACACAACAACAGGATGATTTGTCTAGTTCTGATCTATTTTTTTTTTCCTTTGATAAAATGTATTACATGTAACTACCGAATTTTAATTGAGTGTTCAGACTAATGATTTTTTCATGCTTTACTTTTTTTTTACGTCATAAAGGCTTTAAGCAAAAGCAATAATTTCGATTCAGTGGATGACTATGTATTAATAGAAGAAGTTCAACAAGGATGGGACAAGAAGGCTTCTGAGAAGAATCTTCATCGTAGGTTCCTTGATATCAATGAAAGACCTCTGGAAGCTCAAGCCCAATGGCAAGGAGATGGCCGATTTGTTCTAAAAAAATTAGCTGATGTATGTATTCAATTTCTTAATGCATGAAAATCACATATATTTATTAAAGTTACATTTACTTGTCAACTTAAATCAAACCTTTCATAGCAAGTTAAAAAGCAAAAATATCTAACTCATATGTTATCTCTAAAAACAGTGCAATGTTTTAAAAACAGCGCAAAACAGTTTTAATCTTTTTAAAATAACTTTTTAAAATAACAATAACCTAGAATAAATCTGCAAAAAATGTTTTTCATATTTTACACTTATATAAATTTAAAATTAATACGAATATTAATTTTAAATCTCTGTTTAATGCGTGCAGTAAAAATAGCAAGAAGTCGATAACAATATAATACTGGAAAGTGCAATTCTGGATGATTACTAAGTATGTAATATTCATTTAAAATATATTTTTACATTCTTAAAAGTTTAGAAATAAGTATTTGCATAAATGTTCAGATTTCTTAATTTAAAAAGTAAGCATATTCTGCAGCAAGATCAATTATCATAAAAACTGAAAATATACATGTATGTTTAAAATACATGTCTGTAAAAATAAATATGCGGACAGTCATTATAAATTGCATAACAAACTAACTTCTCTACTTTTGTAAAGAAATTTAATTTATTAAAAGTTTGTTTGATGAATAAGGTGCGCCACTTGAGTAACATATTACAACAAAAGTCTATAGAAATGCTGTAACAAGCGTAATGCTGTAACAATCAAATGCTGTAACAAGTCTATAGAAATGCTGTAACAAACAAATGCTATAACGTTGTGTATTTTTGAAAGCAGGACTGCCTCTGAAACCCGGTGACAATAATTTACGCCGATCTAACTGTTGGCAGAAGTTGCACTTATAAGATTCCCTTAAAGAGTTTAAATTACTGCACAAGTGAATAATTTGATTTATTAAACAGGCTACCTTCCTTTTCTTATCATTCATAACACCCACGCCTAATTACGCGGCCATTATTTCTCACGCGAAATGTATCTGTATACAACATTTACGTAATGTTATATAATGTTCAACAACATTCATATAAATACAGCTGAAGGGTCATTTATATATGTACTGTAAAATTTATCTGTTTATTATTTATGTATTTACGACAAGATTTATTTGTATTTATTTGCAGGATCCCAGTACTCGAGCTTGGATAACTACTATTAGGGGCACGATCAACAAAGAAAAGGTTGATGCAAATTCTTTTTATTAACTACTTTATTCGAGTCTAAGAATATGCCTGTCATTAACACTTCACCTGTTCACAGAGATCAAAAGATATGGGCGGAGGACTGTGTGGCTGGACAGATGGAGAAGAAGCCTTTCTAGTCTGCATTTACAATGTGGCTCCGGATCAACCATATGCGATACTGAAAGCCCCAATCACGAGTACTAGTCAAGATATAGTGCAACAGGTTATTATCCTTTTCATTTGAAAATATTTAAAGTTTATTTTTTTTCTGAAGCCTTCTAACCTATAAACTATTAATTAAACTATTAATTTATAATTGAAATTTGATTTCTTTTGATATGCAATTATTCATGAAATGTATTAAAAATTACTGATAAAAGTTTGAAGTTCTTCGAGTTATTAAAACAAATGTCTCCTTGATAAATTCCCTCACGTTGATAGTTGCTTTTAAAAATTGTTAAGTCCATGAAATAAAACTGTCATTTAATTTCAAAGAGAGTAAACTCTGACGAAGAGTTGTTGAGTGGTAACAAACTCTTTTTTTTTACTTGAGTACTCACTGAATGGAAAATTAAAATATATTTAAGGAATTAATACAGTGAAAATATTTTATGATATATACGAGTATTACAATGAAAGATATTATTTTCTATCTAAATATGGATATACTGAATCTAGTCTAACAAGAACAAGCATCTTTCCTTATAAAACATGTGGGGAGATAAAAACATTCCTTTAATCCCTTGAACTAAGTTTGGGGATCTCCTAAAAAGTATGGAAACTAGTTTCTTATCCTATTTTCTGTGAGAGGACAAAGAATAGACGCAGCACATAACGCTTTTATCAAACGAAAGAGTTAAGCAGCAGATGAATCATAGGTTATGAAAACCCACTTGATTTTTGCATCGCAATGGGGCATCGCAATTTGAGACAACAGCGAATATAAAACATTGTGGCTCATCGCATAGTGAGTGGAGCAGGAAGAAAGGGCATTACAACGTATATAACGACGTATCCAACGTCCATGCAGTAGCAGATGTACAGCCGGTAGCAATCTGAGCAATTTGCACGGTAGAGTGAAAGAACTGTAATTGGATACAGACAATTTCTCATCTATTAGTTGAAGAAAGTTCTGTAATCAAGCCATCCTTTGTAAAAATCGTCATTAATTCCAAACCCTCATTATGAATGGTTGCAGTGGCGTAACGTTAGAACTATTTGAATCGTAGCGATTCTCTCTCAGTACTGGTGATTACTGAACCAAAGTTTGAAAGCGACTTTAAACGAATTGATTCTTTTGTTATTACTAAACGTCAAACGTTATTACTTCATCGCAGAACCATAGTTTAAGATGTCATTATCATCAAGTGCTGATCATATCTGGAATACATATCAAGTACAATGAAGACACGCACTAAAATCAGTGTACATATCATTTGTAAAATCGATTGCGTGATTTCTTGGCCAACACGATACCTAGATATTTCGGCAGTGAAGAATTAGTGGCACATGATTTTTTTATGGAGCGAATGATCTCCAAAACTTTCGGAGCATTCTGCTTTCTTTCTGGAGCACTGCAAGTTTATTTTCAAAATAATATTCGCGGATATTCGAGAATAAATTTAATGACTTTTCCCTTACCTTTTACTGACTTCATGTTAAAGCTTTTATCACAAATCTAGGATGCAGCTGGGAAATAAAAGCTACTCGTTTCGACTCTTAGCAATTTCGTCTTGTGTAAAACAGCATTAGTCTTTAAATTTATAGCGGATCCCTTTATTTTCGGTGAATATATTTATGAATTTTATCTCAACAAATTTTTCACATAAAGTATTTTGTTTTAAATTAATACAGATTTTACTCTGGGAAAACCATATAATTTATATTAATCAAAATAATGAAACGAATGTAACTCATATATATACTATATGTATCGAGTTTTCACGAATGTTTCCCAGCACCGAAAATATCGTCTGCGCAAACAGTTCGCGTTGGCGTGTTTGGTCAAACAATTTTTGGCATTTGAAAGAAAGGCATTTGCTTTAGAACCTTGAGTTGTGATATTTGTAAAAAAAATAGCGTTTTCATTAAGTACACAGTGTCTGAAATGGAACTATTACATTATCATATTAGAACAATCATTTACTCCCAGTTCTATCGCAAAAAGTCAGAAGAAAGAACGTCACTAAATCATGTGTATAGCCTTAGGTACTAATGCTGTATCAATGACACTGTGAAGGTTTGGTACCAAAAGTTCAAAAATAAGGACTATGACGTTCAAGAGGCAGAGCGCTCTGGCCGGCCTGCTGATGTTGGTGAGGTCCACCTGCGAGAAAATGTGGAAAACGTTCAATATGCAACCACTCGAAAGCTTGCTAAGGAGTTAGATGCTAGTGCCATGTCCATTAGTCACGCTATGCATTGCATAAATTTGACAAGTTCAATCACTGGGTTTTACATGAGCTGACTCAAGCGGATAAGAACAGACGTGTTCGGGCCTACAGTTATCTGCTCGAATATCAAAGCAAGAGCAAAATTCTAGACCGGATCGTCACTTGTAATGAAAAGTGGATTTACTTTAACAACACAGGCTGAAAATGGGGTTGGTCTGCGCCCGGTGATCCCGTTGGCAAAGCGCATTTTGACTAATAAAAAGATCATGCTTTCTATCTGGTGTAATTGCCGTGGTATAATCCACAAAGAGTATCTGCGAAAAGGTAAAACCCTCGACAGTAAGGTGTACAGCGAGATACTAGTCTGTGCTGAGCTGCTATCAAGGAAAAACGTCGAACTGAGTTCCGGTGCAAAAAGGTAATATTCCATCAAGATCACATGTGTCTTCATTCACCGGCTGGACTCTGTACGGACTCAAATGGGATCTTTTGCCACACCCACCATATAGCCCCAACATTGCTCTTTCGGATTTCTAGCTTTTTTCAAATTTGCAACTACATCTGATGCTGTCTTCCTGATGCTGGTGCTATCTTCCATTCTGCACTGTACATTTGAAATGAGGTTGATCTGTTTTTGGACTCGCGGCCATCAAGTTTCTGGGACGAAGGCTTTGAAAATCTACCAAAACTTTGACAGAAAAGCATAGATTTGGGTAGTGATTACTACTCAAATTAAAAGTACTGCTTTCATGTTTTTTTTTCTAACTTTATTAAGAACGTTTTTGGAGGAAATCTTATATATATATATTGTTGTAACAAAAGTATTGTTGAAACTATTTCCATAAAATTCTTTACTTCGCATTACGAGACTTTATAGCTGGAAAAATTCATCTAGGATCAGTAGTTACGAATTATTAAGGATACCTTTTAGAATGTCCTGTATATGAAGCTTAGCTTTCACTTTCAGGCTCTGCTCAAAGCAAGGCGAATGGAAGATCCAAGCAAATTTGGTTTGGTTGAAGAACTGGAGTATCCTCCCCTTGCTGAATCGGCATCATCTAGCAAAAAGCGATTGCAGAGACAGAGAAGATTTCTGCAAGACCATGAAAATGTCTTCCTTGCCCAACAAAGATGGAAGGGCAGGGGTTGGTTTGAAATGAGAGAGAGAGATCAGGTATTTTCTACACTAAGCTTTAAAATGAAACTTCTAAAATATTTTTGATAAATACAGTAAATCATTAAACATTTATTTAAGAACTTATTTTATTTATTTATTAAAGAATTTATTTATTATTAAGAACATTTAATTTTTCTGCAACTTCATATACAAAAATATGAAAATGTATTAACGATATAAAATGGAAATATTAATAATTCAGTAAGAAACATATAACGTTCATCGATATTTTGTCTATGTAGAAAGTAAAGGAATCTAATGAACTGTAGAGCGACGCTGAGTTTACGTGTATAGTAACCAGATCCAGAGAAGGGCCAAAATACCCTTTTATTTACTCAAAGAAATAATAACAGATGGCCGCTTCTCGGGCTTATAGGAAAGCCTCCACTCGGGCTTTTGACTCAAGATAAGAGAATAAGAAATTAATCTAACACTTAACTAAGCAGACTTATCTAAATCTAGACACAAATACCCAACGCACTTGGCCCTTAATTTAACCTAGCCGGCAATTATCAACAGGCACGTACAATACGGCCGAGAGCAGTAGATTTAAGAACGATTTAACCAGACGGCAAACACGCGCCACTAAGGATTTCTAAGCTCTCTCTTTCGAAGTAAGCTGAACTTTCTTTAAATACTCCTTCTAATTCATTTGCATAAAACGCGATAATAAAAACTCATTCTGGTAAGGAACAGTAGATGGGAAACGAGAATAGACAGTAAGGCGTGTTTAAACTTAAAATAACTGCTAGAAACTTAAAGTAACCTCTACAAACATTTTTGACAATTACTTTGATTGTGCATTTATTTACCAAACAAAGAACATTTTTTTTTTTTTTTTTTTTTTTTTTTTTTTAAGATAGAATCAAATATGCAGCTTTTCTCCTTAAGTCTTATATACCGTGTCCACAAAAGTTTCTTACCCAGCCTTTATTTTCGCAACCGTTTATCGTAGACTTAAAACTTGTAATTACAAATATATTTTACATGACGCAAATATTCATGCTTGACATTTGTAGAGTTCCTCACTTTGGAATTCTAAGTTAATGTTGGAAGTGAAGAATCTAAGAACTGATATAGCGAATAATCGCTTGAGTTCGGTGACAAGAAACGACAAGATAGAAGGGTAACTAACCCGTTATTATTCCAATAAGATTTACAAACTCCGCCTGGGAGTGTACAAGCAAAGCCCGCACTTGGACTTGAACTTAAAAGACTAAGAATTAAATTAAAACTAAGATTAACTAAAGAAGTATAGCCGAAGCTATCAAGGTTCAAATCGAGTTGGCCCCTTAACTTATTTGACTACGAAGCTTAGCAAGGGCCTGAGTACGGCCGAGCGTAATAACAGCTTTGAGAGAGAGAGTGGCCAAAAAGGCAGACGCGCGTAAATCAGAAACTCTGATTCTCTCTGACTCAGTAAGTAACTTCGTGGTTTAAATACCGCTCCTCCTCATTAAATATTCAGCAAGATTCCAAAACTACGTTCTGGCCGGAAGTAGTAAGTTGAAGTTAAGAATTTGACAGGAAGGAACTTTAACTTAAAATTTAACTGTTAATAAAATTAACATAATCCTTACACATTTTAATTTAAAAATATCAATTTCATAAAAATTACGAAATCTAAAATCGTTGTTAAGGCCCCTATACTTGCGTTTAGGAAACTGTTATGTTCATGTTAAAAAAAATAATAATAAATACAAACTGCGTGATTCACGTTACGACAAAACTGACCGAAATATTTAATTTTTAAGTTTCAGATAGATGTTTTTGAAAATTGCTGAATTTTCGTACACAGATTTCAGAGAAAAATACTTAAATATTTGTGTAACTGAAAATAAAACATCAGCTTAGGAAAACGCCTCTAATGCGCAGCATAGCGCATATTCAATTTCGAATGCATAGCGCATATTCAATTTCATGACAGTAGATCCTGCCTCTGTAGCTCTAGAAAACTTCAACCTGAAGTTAAAAGGATGAGTAAGGACCTAATGGTAATGTGTATATCAACAAAGACAAATAAAAGCATCTTCAGCCTTAGAAATTAATAAGCTAAAAATAATACTTTGCGTTTTAAATGTTGTTTATCAATTAATACTTTAACAGCCGAAGTTACTAAAAATCATATTTCTACAATTTTAACTAAATATGTTATCGGCATAATTTACTTACTGTAATAAATGGCTGCCTTCAACGTAATATATAAAATTTTGGGCGACTTTTTGTCACTATGATTCAAAGTTCTTTCAGTTCAATCAATTTGAAAAGCATATGGTTATACACATTTAATTGAAAACAAGAGATTATATTTCCTAAAACTTCTGAGCATCTTTTAAAAATCGTGGGCTGCTTTTTAAAGACTAATGAACTGAAAATAGCTCAGATAAGCAGTGCGATCCAATTTTTAATGTAAAAAATAGTAATGAATCAATGTTTCATTCAATAATTGTATGATATTCAATGCGGTTGATTATAATCTAATAATCATAACTATAACAGTATTTATAATGCAAGGATGTAATGAAATATTTCATTTTCAGGGGAAATCTGATAAAAAAATTAAAAAGTACTCTGGCTTAAGGAGATTTGGATATTCTGCTAAAGGTGAGATGCTAATATTTTCATTTTCGCTTTTTATATTCATTTTCTGAACAAGTAAACAGAAAAACAAAACAAACAAACAAAAAAAAAACATGTTTCCATTTTTGTTAAAAATCCTAACTTTAGCTTAAATAAAATTTTCTCCAGAAGTGCAATATCACTCAGTGGTTGGTTTTATGTAATTGCAAGAAGACCGAATTTGTTTAAAATGTGTTGCGTTACTTCGTTCAACAACAACAACAACAAAATATTTGGTTATTTTTTTTATCAACGCTAAAATAATTAATACAGATGAAATGATTTCCAAAGTTCCTTGAATAAGAATTCTAAAAGGTTCTCGAATCCCAAATCTCTCGAATGCTTCATATAAGAGTAGGAAATAAGAAGAAACTTATATTTAATGTTCAAAGTTTTTAATCAAAGCAAAACATGAAATCTGTGACTAATGAAAAAAAATTAAGATTATTATTGAAGTTTTTAATAATGCATCTATATTTATTAAGAAATACAAAAGAAATTAGTAAATGAAGTATGTATTTAAAACTCTTGAATCTTGATTCATTTTCTCAGTATAATGTGACAAAACATATTTGAGTTATGGTTGAAATTTTTACATTTTAAATACGTTTTTAAAATCAAAGCTGGTGTAAAATGAAGATTACTTGAAGAATTAACGTAGGTAGGCAATAAACGTGATATGCTAAATTCCATCCAAAATGTTAAGAACGTCACAAAGTGGTATTGGAGATAACAGTTCTCTTAACTGCAGCAGTCGCGCTATTTTGCAATGAATTCATCATCTGAGATTAATAAGAC